AAAAATTTGGTCAAAGCCCCACAACCCTTGCAAATATTTATGTATTTCACTTTGATATGAGGCCACACACCAAATGTGGGGAACATCCGAAGACAAATATGCAAATTATTGCATGAAAGGTCATGAAATTACAAATTTTGGTGTTCAAAAGTCCCCCAACTCTTCTAAATATTGACAGATTTCACTGTTTTCACAAAATTTGGTGAATATCCAACGACAATGGGGGTTCTAAGCATGGGAGGAAACCGGAGTACCCGGAGAAAACCCACGAGATCGGGCAGGTGAACCCAACCTATTCATATCTGATAGGGGAATCGGAACCCCGTCCACCTTGGTGAAACGCAAGTGCGCTATGCACTGCGCCACCTGACCACCCTAGAGCTATACATAGAGGGTGTACATCACATCAAACAACTTTTAAGGTTAGAGATTCAAGATAACCATCATACTATCCGATCAGCAGATACATTGAGTTGAAATGTCATCTTTTACATGGTTTGTGGTTTGGAAATGTTTATCCCGTTACAAAATACAGTGAATACCAGTGGGCTTGTATGGTTCAATACCAGTGGGCTTGTATGGTTCACTTGTTAATCAATGCTTCTGGCAGACGCATCTTACTTTTCTGACCTTCAAATAGTGTCAAGGTCAAATTCATTTAAACCAATATGTAGGGTTTTCTACTACACAAACACTACAGGATAATTCAATATCATTACTCTCCACTATGGAACGTTGTTTGGAGATTTTTACTTATTTTACTCGTGCAACTTTTAAGTTAGTCAAGTCAAGGTCATTATGTCTCCCCTTCAAATGAATGTGAAATGAGATGTCAAAATAAATATCATTGTCTACCTTTTCAGCCTTCAACCTGTTTAATCTTGGAATATATCTGCATAGCAAATTTGGTTCAAGCTTTGGACAAGCTTTGGACAAAATTTGTCAATGACCAAAGTCAAAGATTAAAGCATATATCACAGCGACATAATTTTTAGCTCACCTGCCCTTATGCCATGGTGTGGCGTCCGGCGTCCGTCCGGCGTCAACTTTTTACTTAAACAACTTCTTTTCAGTAACCAAAAGGCCTAGGATAATGATATTTGGCCAGTAGCATCCTGGAATCAAGGGCTACCAAGTTTGTTCAAATGAATGAGGTTCATCCATTTTCAAGGTCACAGGGGTCAAATATGTTAAAATCTTTAAACGACTTCTTCTGAAGAACCAAGAGGCCTAGGGTGATGATATTTGGCAAGTAACATGCTGGGATGAAGGGCTACCAAGTTTGTTCAAACAAATGACCTTCTCCCATTTCCAAGGTCACAGGGGTCAAATATGTTTAAAACCTTTAAAACAACTTCTTCTCAATAACCAAACAGCCTTGGGTGATGATATTTGGCCAGTAGCATCCTGGAATCAAGGGCTACCAAGTTTGTTCAAATGAATGACCTTCATCTATTTTCAAGGTCACAGGGGTCAAATATGTTAAAATCTTTGAACGACTTCTTTTGAAGAACCAAGAGGCCTAGGATGATGATATTTTGCCAGTGACATGCTGGGATGAAGAGGTACCGAGTTTGTTAAAACAAATGACCTTCACCCATTTTTAAGGTCACATGGGTCAAATATGTTAAATTTTTTGAACGACTTCTTCTGAATAACCAAAAGGCCTAGGGTGATGATATTTGGCAAGCAACATGCTGAAATGACCAAGTTTTTTCAAACAAATGACCTTCACCCATTTTCAAGGTCACAGGGGTCAAATATGTTTAAAACCTTTAAACAACTTCTTCTGAATACCCAAGAGGGAAAGGATAATGTTATTTGGCCAATAACATGCTGGGATGAAGGGCTACCAAGTTTGTTCAAACGAATGACCTTCATCTATGTTCAAGGTCACAGGGTTCAAACATGTTAAAAACCTTAAAACAACTTCTTCTCAATAACCAAAAGGCCTTGGATGATGATATTTGGCCAGTAACATGCTTGGATGAAGGGCTACAAAGTTTGTTCAAATGAATGACCTTCATCTATTTTCAAGGTCACAGGGGTTAAATATGTTAAATACCTTTCAACAACTTCTTCTCAGTAACTAAAAGGCTAAGGGTGATGATATTTGGCCAGTATCACGCTTGGATGAAGGACTACCAAGTTTGTTCAAACAAATGACCTTCTCCCATTTTCAAGGTTGCAGGGGTCAAATATGTTTAAAACCTTTAAGCAACTTCTTCTGAACTACCAAGAGGCCTAGGGTTATGATATTTTGCTATTTAGATGCTGGGATGAAGGGCTACCAAATATGTGCAAATGAATGAACTTCGCTCATATCCAAGGTGACAGGGGCCAAATATGTTAAAATCTTTGAACGACTTCTGCTGAAAAACAAAGAGGCCTAGGTTGATGATATTTGGCCTTCAGCATGCTGGGATGAAGGGCTACCAAGTTTGTTCAAACAAATGACCTTCACCCATTTTCAAGGTCACAGGGGTCAAATATGTTTAAAACCTTTAAAACTACTTCTTCTCAATAACCAAGAGGCTGAGGGTTATAATATTTGGCCTGTAGCATGCTGGGATGAAGCGCAATCAAAGTTGTTAAAATGAATGACCTTGACAATTATTCAAGGTCACAATGGTCAAATATGTTTAAAACCTTTAAACAACATCTTTTTAATAACCAAAAGTCCTAGGATGATGCGGTTTGGCCAGTAGCATGCTAGGATGAAGGACTACCAAGTTTATTCAAACGAATGACCTCAACATATATTAAAGGTCACAGGGGTCAAATATGTTTAAAACCTTTATAAACGACCTCTTCTCAATAAGCAAAAGGCTAAGGGTAATGATATTTGGCCATTAACATGCTGGGATTAAGGACTACCAGGTTTTTTCAAATGAATGACCTTCGCCCATATGCAAGGTCACAGTGGTCAATATATGTTTAAATCTTTAAATGACTTGTTCTGTATAACCAAAAGGTCCAGGGTAATGATATTTTGCCAGAAGCATGCTTGGTTGGACGACTATAAACTCTGTTCAACGATATGTCCTTGTTCGACATTCAAGGTCACAGGCGTCATATGTTTAAACCTTTAATAGGTTCTTATGAGTCAAATACTGATATTCTGCCTGTAGCTGTATTTTAGTCCACTTTAAAGATTATTTGTGAGATTAATACCAGGTGAGCGATTCAGGCCCATTGGGCCTCTTGTTGTAAGCTGCATTCCAACCTCCCCAAGATGTACTAGCATATCAAATCTGGTTACTCCAGGTGAAAATATTAAAGAATGCATATGTCAAACTTTCAGACAGATGGAATATAGGACAGGAGTAACCGGTTGGGGATCAAATAATTTGGTGATTTGACAGGTTTCATCTAGATTGCCAAAATTTTAAACGGCCAAATAAAATGTCGCCAAATTTCTCATTCTGCTATGATGCATTCTCCATATCCCTGTTTTCTAGTTCTAACACAGGATCGGTCCCGCAAGTATTGAATGGAAAAGATTGTTGTTCGTATATTGTGATAAGAAAAAAGACTTGTTGCCTTCTGACATTCATTGCAAACTTACTGATCTTTTAGAAGTGATGCTTCAAAAGAAATAAATTCAATTATTGTAAAGTAGTATGTGTCGTTCAGTGACATGTTACTGGTTGTTACTTCATATTGTCTCTGATGACATTTAGACAGACTGGGTTACTTCCCCTAGACTAAATGTACAGACAGCAAACAGAATTACACACCAAGAACATGTGTAGGAGGCGTTACTTCAGGGCCAAATTAAAATCCAAGGCTTATGCAAATCACCAAATTTTAAATCCCCAAGTATTTTAAGTTTGACATTTTAGATCAAAATCAATCATCCCAGGTAGCAACTGGCCAAATATGACCTGTTCTCTCAATTCATCCCAGGTAGCAACTGGCCAGATATGACCTGTTCTCTCAATTCATCCCAGGTAGCAACTGGCCAAATATGACCTGTTCTCTCAATCATCCCAGGTAGCAACTGGCCAGATATGACCTGTTCTCTCAATTCATCCCAGGTAGCAACTGACCAAATATGACCTGTTCTCTCAATTCATCAAATTAAGTAGCTCAAAGAGACGACAGACGCCACAACAAATCATGTCAGGTGAACTAAAAACATAAAACACGAGACTGCTTTTCATATCTGTATACTTATTTATTTCTCGATCTTAATCATCTAGTGCTCCTGTCAGCAGCATCCCATAATGTTACATGGAAATGGACTATGTACAGTGAAGACTACAGGCTATACATCAACAAACTCTCCATAACGAAGCAATAATTTAGTAATAAACTTTCATCCAAATGCTCATGTACTCGCTTTCTCATCCAATCAGGTAGGTTTTCCCATACCCCTCCTTGCATTACGTGTGTGCGTGTTCTTCTTAAATTAGATGAGTTTGTATGGTTTACATACATTCATTATCAAACATTAATTCTACATGTGAGAGTATCACAGCATATTCAAAAGAAATATTGAAATTAACACCAAAGTTTGTTAAAGAAAATATTCACACAATAAAAACAGAAATTTCCAATATTACTGCAAATGTTTCCATTGAATCTAAAGTAATTGTTGTGACACGAGAATTAAGATGTTAAACTACAAGTATTATTTGTAAAAAAATCTCCACCATTGACCAATCACATGTATAGGAGACCAATCTCTCACCAGTCACACGTACAGGAGACCAGCCTCTGACCAGTCGCACGCCCAGGAGACCAGCCTCTGACCGGTCACACGAACAGGAGACCAGCCTCTGACCGGTCACACGAACAGGAGACCAGCCTCTGACCAATCACACGTACATACAGGAGACCACCCTCTGACCAATCACACGTACAGAAGACCAGCCTCTGACTGTTCATATGTACAGAAGACCAGCCTCTGACCAGTCGCACGTACAGGAGCCCAGCCTCTGACCAGTCGCACGCCCAGGAGACCAGCCTCTGACCAATCACACGTACGTACAGGAAACCAGCCTCTGACCAATCACACGTACAGAGGACGAATCTCTGACTAGTCACACATACAGGAGCCCAGCCTCTGACCAATCACACGTACGTACAGGAAACCAGCCTCTGACCAATCACACGTACAGAAGCCCAATCTCTGACTAGTCACACATACAGGAGACCAGCCTCTGACCAATCACACGTACAGAAGACCAGCCTCTGACTGGTCATATGTACAGAAGACCAGCCTCTGACCAGTCGCACGTACAGGAGACCAGCCTCTGACCAGTCGCACGCCCAGGAGACCAGCCTCTGACCGGTCACACGTACAGGAGACCAGCCTCTGACCAATCACACGTACAGGAGACCAGCCTCTGACCAATCACACGTACAGAAGACCAATCTCTGACCAGTCACACATACAGGAGACCAGCCTCTGACCAGTCGCACGCACAGGAGACCAGCCTCTGACCGGTCACACGTACTGGAGACCAGCCTCTGACCAATCACACGTACGTACAGGAGACCAGCTTCTGACCAGTCGCACGCCCAGGAGACCAGCCTCTGACCGGTCACAAAAATAGGTAACCTGTCACTAGTTTTACACTAAGAGTATTATGCACAAAGTTTGAGATAAATTTAATGACAAAGCTGTCACCATTTTTTTGCTTTAAATTCAGTAGATTTCCAGATCTCAAGAATAGATGAAAACAAACTGTTAAAAAAATCACTAATACCCATTGATGGTACCTTGTTAGTGCATTTGTTTTTGATTTTGATGGAATTTCATTTTTTTTATACAAATATTTCATCAAAATATCACTTTTTTGGGATAGGATTAATTTACCCCTTTACAAGATACATACAGATACATAGCATAAGTAGTTAATTTAGAAAAAGTTATCTCCCTTATTGTACACTTGACACATACCATTGTGCTTGCCATTTAAATACAGATATTTTGAAGAATTGTTCACCTCAATAATTAACATATTTTCTTCAGCTGGCAGAACCATACCGGACTGACCATTCTCAAAAAATAAATTTGGACAAGAAATGATTGCATTGCCATTAAATCACATTCAAGTCAATGTTTTCCATTTAATCCACTTAAAAATCTCAATGTAACAGTTTTAACTAAAATATAACAAAAGTACACTGTATTTGCATAATTTCAATTATAAATGCAGTCTCACCACACTTACACTGCCGGAACCCAATGACTCAGAACTCTGAACTCACCCAGGCCACATTAGCTTCACAAGAAAGGAAAACCTAAATGGAAGAAAGACAGAACTGTTCAGAGAGAAAGACAGAACTGTTCAGAGAGAGAAAGACATAACTGTTCAGAGAGAAAGACAGAACTGTTCAGAGAGAAAGACAAAACTGTTCAGAGAGAAAGACAAAACTGTTCAGAGAGAAATACAAAACTGTTCAGAGAGAGAGGTACAGAACTGTTCAGAGAGAAATACAAAACTGTTCAGAGAGAAAGACAGAACTGTTCAGAGAGAAAGACAAAACTGTTCAGAGAGAAAGACAAAACTGTTCAGAGAGAAATACAAAACTGTTCAGAGAGAGAGGTACAGAACTGTTCAGAGAGAAAGACAGAACTGTTCAGAGAGAAAGACAAAACTGTTCAGAGAGAAATACAAAACTGTTCAGAGAAATACAAAACTGTTCAGAGAGAAAGACAGAACTGTTCAGAGAGAAATACAAATCTGTTCAGAGAGAAAGACAAAACTGTTCAGAGAGAAAGACAAAACTGTTCAGGGAGAATAGGAGAGAAATAACAGCCACTTCCACTGTCATAGATGAAATAAAAATTAAAAGACTTATTGCAACAAAAAGATACTAGCCTCTGCCATGATAGGAAATTGTATGATTACAGCTAAATACAATGTTCTGTAGTGAGATGGAATTACAGTGAAACCAGGGTTTGGCTTTACAGTACTGGGGTATACCACCAATGTACCACAAAGATCTTGGTTTGATCTTGTCAGATTTATATCTTTAAAATAAAAATAGAATTGCTTGAAAGTGACTTAAGTTTTTGCGGTGGATTGCCTTCCAAAGCAAACACTGAAAATAATGAGTTAACGTGTACAGTATTACTAGTTACCAATGGATCACTCCTGTACCACAATAAGACCAAGAGTGCTTATACTAACAACCTCACTAGTTTCATTCAAATCACACTCACTTTCTCCTCGAGCTCTGCCTACAACATATAATCTCACACAAGGACAAATGGTTTTATATGCTGCCTGGTTCAATCATAGGTCTCCTCTAGATGAGATCAGGAGAAACACACGCGTAGATAGCACGCCTACAAACCACTGTTAAGCAAATGTGGAAAATGCAAAATGTTAAGTTAAAACTGCAAATAATTTGATGAATATACAACTTGATGAACGTTAATTGCAAAAATGGGCATACATGTGTTTACTTTTAACTTGTGTACCATATAAGCTACTGCAAGAATTGTTTTGGAGAGAAAAAGATAAAAAAAAAACGCTGAGAAAACTCTCCCACCTCCCATTAATTAGCACTTGACAAAAAAACACACATAGAACTACGTTCTCGAGTTTACAGAATAATTCCACATGATTAGTGACTAACAGGGGAGATCACTCTCGCAATGGATTATAGCACAACTGTTTAAAAATTCTATATAACATACTACCATACAACACACTACACTCTAGCACTAGAACAAATAACTACCCTTCACAGTCATATGGGACTGGTCCAGACACAGGAAGGGCTAGTCTATTAGCGGACAAGGGTAGGGACTGTCCACTTGACAGCTACATTCAGGGGACATGATATTGCGAGAATAATGTTACTAAACAGATGAGGAAAACTCATTGTGTGGTCCTGGTAAAGTTACAGTGATTTAACAGACAACAACAGACAGACCTACAGTGTAACAGGTAGGTACGAAGTCCTGATTTAGGTAGTGTTCTCTTTATTATATTTGCTGTGATAGTGGCCAGTCATAATGGGCTGTCTAGTGATGAGAGTTTTATCTAAAACTTCTGCATCGTTATCCGCAGATTTACCCCGATACAGAAAGGAATGCCAAAAATATAATCTATGTGAATGATAAAGTCATCAACAAATCTGTATATTCTATAATGACTTAATGTCTCTGTATGTGTTTATAGTAAACATTAATTATCAAACCAGTCTTATCTCTGTACATATCAATAGATGTGTATCGGGTAGTTATATTACTGAATACTGATGACAGCCTATTATGGAACACAGAGACAATATAATGTGATTATTGGCAAATTTAAATATTTGTATCTTTTTCCCTAAACAGTAAAATTTAAAAAAATCTTGATCCAGACATTTTTTTTACCAGAACCAGACAGTTTGTTTTGCCTTACTGCGCTCAACAATAAAATTTACATAATGAGAAACAAGGAAGAAAATGTAAAAACAATTAATATGGAATTACTTCACAAATTAATAACAACAGATAATCATAAATCTATTCTTATAGATAACAATTTATTCTCCGGTCTTCACATACTCCTCCACTATTTTGACTGTAAATCATTTTCTATAAATATAACCAATTAAAAAAAACTTTATTATATAGATATATGAAATGTTTATATTACAGTGAGTGTGATCACAATCCGAAGTATAAAAATGATGTCAAGGACCAAGACGCTAATAGAGAAGATCAATAATAATGATAAAAACACTACAATATCAACCAATCAACATGTTCCGTTCCAACACTATTACACATTGCAAAAAAACAAAATGTCAGAATTACAAATGGTAGGAATAAATCTATATTTAGACATGTACACAAATGGTAGCTAGAAAGTAACATACTTTACAAATAGGTCTGAGAATTTTGTTCATAATGTCATCTGACAAATATTTACAACATCACACACCCTGTGTCCCCTACTGGTCACATTAGTATCTTCCAGTTCAATACATCAGAGCTGCCTATTCTGGACCAATAGGGGGGAAAGAGGGCTCAATTTTTAACCTATACAATTTCATTTCCTATCTTGGCATATTATTTAATACATACTTTTACTATATTTTAATTCTGCAATTACTCCATAATGGTTTTAAATTGGAAACACTGTTCCTCGGACTAGAGCAAGCCTAGTAGCCCTGACCTACCAATATGGAAACCTATGTGAGTTTTATATGGGTTACTATGATACACGTGTCACACTAGATGAGGTAGGCTAATGTCCAAACACTGATTATGTAAGACAATGTACGATCAGACCTACACCATATACACATACACACTAGAAGTAGTAGTGAACAACTGGTATCCATTCCTACTAGATATACGACGAGTAAACACACACTCCTAACAGGTGATATTGTATACTACAGAACATCAAGTAATGGCACAATTTGGCTGATTGGTCTCCTCTTGGATTATTTGCATAATTCATTCTTAGAATAAAAACACAGTTCACACCGATAAAATTCACAAAATGTAACACATTTGTTTGGTGATGTGACCAAATCTACGTAGGGTACTCTTTAAACTGTGATGGTTAGGATCACTTGGCCGTATACATTCTTTCTGCATACTGCCACAGCCATGTATAAGCAAAATGGCTGCCACAATTACCCTTCTATACACCTTCCCTCTGCAGTAAACTAAGGAAGACCTATTTGTTTAGCAGTGACTAGCTAGCTAGTGAGTATCCAATTAAACATCGGCCATTTTATAAAGAACATTTCATTTTCAATATAAATCTCGCTGGTAAAAATGCTCTGTATTTGGTGGGCACTTTCTATTTAGTGTCAATATACATCATTCCCCTCAATATAGGGTGTCCTTCCTCTGTTGAAGTAGGTAACTTCGGCGGACAGGGGAGAAAGGTTATCACAGACTGACTATTTGACCCATACTGGTCAGTCTAAGTGTCAAAATCGAAATTCACAAAATCCTAGTATATGGTAGGTGTTGTCAAATTCGTGAAAATTGTGTCGATTCCAAGAGTATTGAAAATCCAGGGTTTTTTGTCCAGCAGACGAATCGGCAGACACGTTGTGTTGTGTTGGGGGGGATTTGTCTCGTATCAGTTTTAGTCGCGTCCATGATTAGTCTTGCGATGTGGTATGTATTACCTAGGACTACATTTTCAAGTTTCCACAGGAATGCAATCTACTAGTAGTAATTCATGAATACATCTGTTAGGTCCATATCAATTTCATTGTTCAGATCAATAAAGACTTGTGTTCACACATCAATTCCTATTTCATATTGAAGTTGTGTGGCTTTGATGTTATTTAGCCAATGATAATAACATGCTCTAACACATCTCTCTGGTGTGTGTCGTGTAGATTCACAAACATTTAATTCATCCACTTCCGACAGTTTGGTGCTCCACAGCAGCAAGGGATCTTGTGCTGCTCATCCTCAAAGTCAAACTTGTAGTCATACGTCAACTGAGGAAGAAACAAAGTAACAAAGCCTGAATAAATCTGTCAGTTCTTGATGAGTAGTCCGAAGCATTTCCTAAACCAAACATTAGCCAGCTCCACAAGCGGTAACAAGATCCAGAACAAGCATTATAAAGCATACAAAAACACATCTTTCTCATATCTATGGCTACCAGTTTGGTGGCAACTGCCTGCAGAAAGTCCTTTCTTTGGAAACGTTCCATCAGACCCGAATCGTAGTATAAATTATAAAGAAAATCATCCGAGTTTACAAAGAGGCTATTATCAATATCTCCCACTCCATAGTCAAGTTGTTATGAAGCAAAGATTTTACATTCATACAGCAGAGGAATTCAAGTAAACATATCTCAGTTATTCATTTAGTTATCAGCGAGTTGTTCCGCTTGACCTAAAATCATCGTACCAGTAGTAGACTATCATACCCAAACTACTAGTCAATAGAAAGAACAGTCTGAAAACACCAAAAACTTCTTTAAAATTCAACAAATGTGCAAATTCACCTATATTTATTGGATATTGATTTACTGAAGAATGCCTACCTCCTCGCCCTTGGCGAGTTTGCGGTTGGTTATGATGATGATCTTGCTCTCCTTGTCGAAGGCCACCACCTCCGCCACACAGTTGGGGTTGCAGGAATGGTTGATGTAGCGGGCAGGGCCCCCAGCCATAGTGGCATCCACTACCACCTCATTGTCAATGCGGAACATGTACACTCCACGATTCTGCTCCTCGTAGATCACCTCTCGACGATTGGCCACCTCGTTACGGATAAGGTCTCCAATATACTCAATCACCATGGTATGCTTCTCTGTATCCTTGGCAGCAAACAATCCTAGGCCCTGAAAGGTCGACACTTAAGGAGTGAGTGACACCCTCACAATCACATAACTTGAATAGTTGTAGTTGAACAAATATTCCCTCAAAAAAACCTTAATTCATTAACAACTAATCTTCATATTTTAAGTCAACTAACATCCTAATTAATTTTAATCGAGCACCAAGCTTTTGGTCCCAGTCATAAGTTCTACTCTAATGTTAAATCTGATAAGAGTACATATTATCAAGTCCCATATTGATTGCTGATGTGATGAGGGATCTGGGTCATGGCCTTACCTGGATCCTGGAGCGCCCAAGGTACACGTTGTTTTTCCACTCAGTCTTGAGGCGTCTGTACTGTTGGGACTTAGAGTGAACAAACTGTTTCATGTATGGGGAGTTGAGGTCACCAGTCACCCCCGTAACAGTTGTGGGCAGGGAACGCGAGGTGTTGCTAGACTGTAGAGTGTGGGGTCTGAAAACACAGCATTACAGAATCATAAAACAAGACACAACAGTAACACACACTTTATATGCAGTCAAAAAATCAAAAATATTATCATAATTTAAACTGGATAACATTAAGGCAGAACATTGAGTTTCGAGCTGAATGTTCACCAATGTCTGTTTTGACCTCTTAACCTCTCCAACCTCTGAACCAACATCTGACCTTTATACCTCTATCTGACCTCTGAATCTGCATTACTTCTGCACTTTGTCTGACCTCTGTAACTGTTTCATTTCTGCACATTTCTGTTTTAACTTTGCCCGTCTGATCTATGAACTGACCTCTGACCTCTGTACATATTTCTGACCTCTTAATGGTACTGATGACAACTCTACCAATGGTACTGATGACAACTCTACCAATGGTACTGATGTCAACTCCACCAATGGTACTGATGACAACTCTACCAATGGTACTGATGACAACTCTACCAATGGTACTGTAACATTACAAGCTGTATAAACCAATCCAATCCTCTCAGTATTCTTGACTACATATTGTCTATAACTGTAACATTACAAGCTGTATAAACCAATCCAATCCTCTCAGTATTCTTTACTACATACAGTCTATAACTGTAACATTACAAGCTTTATAAACCAATCCAATCCTCTCAGTATTCTTGACTACATACTGTTTATAACTGTAACATTACAAGCTCTATTAACCAATCCAATCCTCTCAGTATTCTTGACTATATATTGTCTATAACTGTAACATTACAAGCTGTATAAACCAATCCAATCCTCTCAGTATTCTTGACTATATATTGTCTATAACTGTAACATTACAAGCTGTATAAACCAATCCAATGCTCTCAGTATTCTTTACTACATACAGTCTTTAACTGTAACATTACAAGCTTTATAAACCAATCCAATCCTCTCAGTATTCTTTTCTACATACAGTCTATACCAATCCAATCCTCTCAGTATTCTTTACTCCATTCAGTCTATACCAATCCAATCCTCTCAGTATTCTTTACTACATACAGTCTATCCCAATCCAATCCTCTCAGTATTCTTTACTACATACTGTCTATAACTGTAATATTACAAGCTCTATTAAGCAATCCAATCCTCTCAGTATTCTTTACTACATACAGTCTATACCAATCCAATCCTCTCAGTATTCTTTACTACATAGTCTATAACTGTAACATTACAAGTTGTATAAAATTAGATTTAGCCACTTCGAGTTGTCTCCTACCTTCTGAAGTGGGTGCGCATTTTCGGCTCAGTTCTGGCACAGCCTGTTGGGTTGATCAGGAGGGGCATGTCAATAAGTGATGACCGACCAAACTTAAAGTGATAGTTAGTGAGCTGGTCAGTTCCGGGGAGCTGGAGAGAAATAAAATGAATATTAGATAGTACCATAGCTATATCACTGTTAGAGTAAGGCAGCCTGATATATGTAGTTACCTGGCTTAAGGCAGCTGACCGCTTACCAACGAATGTTTGGACTATATAACTAAGGCAGCTGACCGCTTACCAACGAATGTTTGGACTATATTACTAAGGCAGCTGACCGCTTACCAACGAATATTTGGACTATATTACTAAGGCAGCTGGCCGCTTACTAACGAATGTTTGGACTATACTACTAAGGCAGCTGACCGCTTACCAACGAATGTTTGGACTATATTACTAAGGCAGCTGACCCCTTACTATATTACTGTTAAATATCAAAGGTATAATTCCTGTAGCACTTACAGCTACCCAGATCGGGGAAAAAACAACTCTTCTTCATGAGAGAACAAAGGAATATACCTTGTTTCTATATACCCTGCCTACTTTGTTGAGCGTGGATAAAAATATTATAAGCAAGCCAAGTGGTGAACCTTTAGCACAAGGCTGTAAAATACCTCAGTAATAACACAGAACATTTTTTACATTTCTCTTTTTATCCAAAGCCTTTCTCTGAGGTGGAAAGTTGACTTACCGACTCCAGGACCCTGATAATGGTGGGCTCTGTAAGACCAAACAGTTCTTCACCCGTGATAAAGTTGGGGAAGATCTTTACAAGATCTGCGTTTTTTCTCATCTTGTCAAGTGGCTCTAGGACCTTGGACCAGACACCACGAGGTGTGTTATCCTCCATCACCAGGTCCTCGAAACCTCGCTCTACCACTTGGATTTTAAATCCTGCCTGACCTTCATTCTCATAGACGCTGCACACATATCGACATCGTTTGTAAAGCCGACGCATACTCCAGTAAAAACGACTAGATTTATAGCCGACCTAAACAGAAACAAAACTGTAAGTTAGAGTGCATGTCAATGGTTTCAATTTACAAGTTGGAATGCTAGATAGCATAATATCATTTCCACCATTATAAGCTGTATCCTCTATTTTCAGAAAGGCTAGGTTGGTTGAAGGAGTTTTAGAAGATTCTAGAACTGCTTTATAATTTACAATCTATCCTTATGTCCGATTAACAAGAGGCCCAGGGGGTTTAATAGATCACCTGGTATTTTATTTTCAATTTATAACCTGCTGAGTACCATAAAGGTTTATCAAAGGAGTACAAGAAACAAAGTTGCAAGAAGAACTACATGTAAATCTGTTTTGGTGGGTAAGAAACCAAGAAAATGAGTTTCCATGCTATGTCCCAAGGAGGTAGCCTCCAGGGATTGGTCTGGACCTCTTGGGGGCACATCCTCCATTTATAGATATTAAATTCCCTTTGGAAGGGGGGCAACACCCTCTGTTTATACAAACCGATGCTCGAGACCAAATTTGGTCAAAATCCTCCGAGCCATTAAGGACAAGTAGCGTTTTAAAGGAAAAGTTGACGGACGACAGATGCAGGACGACGGACACCGCGCCATGGCATTGGCTCTTCGGGCCAGGTGAGCTGAAAATCATTAATACCTATTTGTGATCTTTCAAATGTTTCCTGTAATAATTTCAATGTTTATGGTACTTACTGGATAGATGTAGTCGCGAGTGTGGTATTTAGCACTGACTATTTGGTAAGGCATCAGATGTCCTATGCTATGCAGGATGAGTGAGCCCACCCTCAGGGTGAAGTTACCTTCCTGTTGGCGATGGACCATACTACAACACAAAGCATTACATAATTATAGTATTGAAACCAGCAGTAATACTGCACATTCATTTGACTTATCAGTAAAACAAAATTCTTCAAAACATAATTCTCTTTTTAATGAATTTTTATCCGAGCTGCACTTGCCCATTTTTGTTTAAAACAACGATCAGACACGTACAATTATGCTACTTTGATGACTATGATTAGCTAGAGACTGAGATATTTCACACACTGTGGGACTACCTACCTGGCCACTTGTTTGTCCTCGTCACGGTTGATGTAAACACGGCGATGTACCACCAGGGATTCCAGTACATTATCTGGGGCAAGCTTGGGTGCATGACCAGGACACAGTAACGTCTGCAATGTAAGATCCTAGCTTATCAACATCTGTTATATCCTAGCTTAGCTCACTATCAAACAATATACATGGACTCCAATTACTTGGTCCATCATTAACACAAAATATTACACAAGCTTAATCCATCAATATAGTCATAAATCTAGGTAGGCTAGTTCTGTATATAAATCTAGGTAGGCCAGTTCTGTATATAAATCTAGGTAGGCCAGTTCTGTATATAAATCTAGGTAGGCTAGTTCTATATACAAATCTAGGTAGGCTAGTTCTGTATATAAATCTAGGTAGGCTAGTTCTGTATATTAATCTAGGTAGGCTAGTTCTGTATATAAATCTAGGTAGGCCAGTTCTGTATATAAATCTAGGTAGGCCGGTTCTGTATGTAAATCTAGGTAGGCCAGTTCTGTATACAAGAGGCCCATGGGCCTTAACGGTCACCTGATATATTTATACAGAGAGTTGATTTTGTTTTTAACATGAACAGAAATATTATTCAAAGTGACAAAAAACAATAAAACCACCTTACTCAATATCTAGCATACAGATTTCAGACTAAAAAGGATTTGAAACTAGCACCT